TGCCCTCAGACACAATACACGCACAACAATCAAATCACTGTAAGTGTAGGTAGATCACTATCTGGCTGATTGTCGCCTAAAGACCTTTATGGGATAGGCGGAGACATTTAAGCTGTCAAAGCTTATTACTTGTGATTATACCTGAACAAAAATTGCTGGCCTTGGTCCTTCGAAAATGCTGTTGTGGAAAAGTGAATAAATGGGAATTTTTAACAAGGATCCCTTAATCACTATGCAAGGTGGTGAGAATAAGTAGAGAAGTAAGGAGTATAGAGAAAAGTTATTAGGGAATTAGTCTTTAAAACTGCTTGCTAATGAGGAGCATCCTAATAATCGTAATAGAGAAACATCAGAGCATGAAAGGCAATTGAAACAACTTTTTGTATGCTTGATAGGAATCTGCTTGGAAAAGAATTGTAGAGGGAGATAATCATTATTGGATTAGCACGATCTGTGGAGAGGAATTAATGGAACTAGAAAAAAGATGACAAGAATTTTCTTTTCTTGTGAAATTCCTATCCTTGGTTACACATAGGGTACATCCTTTGAGTAGCTCAGCACTCAAGAAGAGTATTATGTGTGTTCTTGGAAAAGATTTGTCTTCTTCATGCTTGGGATCTTACTGGAGAAATTAAAGAAACATGAACAAGTGAACCAGATAAAAGCCTTTTTTCCCAAGAAACCAGAAAGTCTGTTTGGTTCCTGTCTCCTCATAAGCTGCACTAGCTCCCAGCTATCTTGTTGCCTGTGGGCACAACTCTAGAATTTTCTTGATATAATTGTCTTAACTAGTGATCCAGGTACCTAATACATTAGTGAAGGCTGGCATGTACTCACTCACGCACCAAGGAGGATCAGATATGTGAGTATCCAGGCCCAGTGGGGACCACCTGCCCCCCAGGGGACAGGGAGCTGGCAGCTGTGGACCCCACCACTGCCAGCCAGGGAGCATGGCTGGCTGGGGGCAACCAGGGGCATCCCCCAGCCCAGACTATCAGGCTCCTCCCTGGGGAGAGGGATGGGCTAAGGCTGGGCTGGGACATCAGCCGGTGGGACAGGCCCCGGCTCGGCAGAGCTTGTAGCTGGGCAGGGCAGGGCTGCTGGGAGCTGGAGCCCAATACTTGTACAGTGTCGCTGCGGCAGGGACTGAGATGGTGAAACCCCAGTAGTTTCTGTTTGATATAAGGAGAATATCATTGATTTTATTCATAGAGAAGAGATACTATTTCGACCTTATGTTGGGAGGGGAAACTCTTGACACCTGGTAAGACAAGTTAGTGTTCACTATACCTTTCTTTCAACTTTGAGTCCTATATGTTAACAACTAGGCAGCCCAGCGTGGGCCATGCCTCATAGCCCTTAAATATTGCTGCCTGAATATCAACAGATAAAACTGACAGAGCCTATTCCAGATTGAGATGGAGTCTGGATTGTGCTCTCTCTGGAAATACAGGATTCAGTCATTCCAGTATCACTGTGTATGCTGGGATTTTGCTTTGGGGTTTGCCTTCTGTTCCATGAAAATTTACCAGACCATGTCTTTTTGGTTACAGAGGGACTGTAGTGTGCTGATGCCAAAATGGCTGAGAGTAAAATACACATCTTTACAATGATAGGCAACCAAACTGCAAATTGTGATCAGAAATACATGTTTTAGAAAAAAATTGTATTGAGTACTTGGATTTACTTCGGTAGTTTTGTCATTTCCCTCACTCCTATCTGCCTATTGGCTTTATGACACATCCTTTACTTGAACAGCAAGAAACACAATTTCAGCCCTTTGAGGTATTCCAAATTATTGCCTTCCCTGAATGGGTGGCATTTCAAAAGATAAACTACCATAGATTAATAATTATTCATTAAAAAAGAATCCTTTTTGAATTCATTAAAAATACTGAAAAAATGTTGTGCACTGTGCACCTAACTGCTCTTGAGAATGAAGAAGAGATCAGGAAAGGAGTAAGTGTGAAACAGCTATGGGTACTTTGATAACCTGCTACTTTTGATTATACTTTAAATATAAAAATACCTGAAACTGCTAGTTTAAGATGTCTTAAATGTGGAAGGTTTGCCTACAGAGTGGTTAGCACTCTGGAAATTGTTCTTTACCTACTCCCAGATATAACCCGAGGATGCAGCTCTTCAGGTCATGCTGCAAAGCCTATCTGAAGTTTCACAGATGGGAAACTGTTGTAAAATTTCATGGTCTGTGTGAACCGGGAGATTTTTACCAGTGATAGTGTCCCTGTTTGAGTTTTGTGTCAGTCTTCATCTAGCAGGTTACTTCTGTGTAGGTGGACTTGTGGTGGTGGTAGTGAGGCATCCTTTACTCATTGCATGACCTGACATTGCATATTTAAGTGCTGCTAACTGCAGGGCTGCTCTCCTCTTGCTGCTCACTTTCTGTCCTCCATTGCTGTGTATACTGTGTATTAAGAGCTAGCATTGGGATAGTTGGATATTTATAAATGAATGATGTCAGTCAAGCTTTAAAGAAAAAATGAATTTGTTCTGGATCAGAAGGGAGCCTGAGAAGCTCAAAGCTACCTGAGGCAACGGATCGCTCCTTCACTTCAGGGGTTAGTTCTTGGCCCTAATAGACTTGCTAAACTGTGTAAACTCATATGTGATTAAAGTGTTGTAATTAGCTCACTGACATTCACACACTCAAGGGGAAGGCAAGCAGCATTCCTTGGCAGAAGTAACATGCCGGGGTAGCTGACAGTGTGTCATGGCCTATTTAAACAGGCAACCTGTCTGTTATGCTGATTTATGCTCTTCTGGGTAAACAAACAAATGATCTCTGCTTTCACACCACCTGCAATATGCCAGCAACTGGTAGAGAAGCCCTTTCATAGGGTTTGGTCCTAAACTATTTCCTTATATCCCTGTTTCTTGAGATAAAGAGAGGTGCTGAGGAACCCTGGCTTTCTGCCCATGTGAAATGCAACCAGTCCAGTCTGGAGCTTGATCATGCTGTATTTTCACAATCAGCTTAGCTTGGCATGTAGCAGCTCTAGTGTTAAAAAAGGCTGTCCTGTACTGATGTATTTAGACCTACCTGGCCTCTGTTCTTGCCCATGCATCTCTTCTCCCATTCCCTTCCTTTTTTTGTGGGAAAATGTGATGAATAACTAAAAATTGGGGAGCAGATTAGCTGAAATTTGCCCAAGGCAAAAAATGTGGTAGAGGAACATTTGTGACGATGAAGTCAGTTGAAAATATAGGCAAAAAAATGAGTGAGGAAAAGTGCAAAATGGAAGGGGAAGAAATGTGAAAAAATGTGATAAATGAGCCATCAGAGGGAAGAGGTGAATGAGGAGAAAAGTGTATCATTAAATCTAGGGATAGAAGAGGTGTTAAATGGGTGTATTTAAAAGTCAGTGCTAAAAGCACAAGAGAATATGAGAAGATCAGGAGAGAAATCATAGACATGAACTGGTGAGAAGTGGGTCAATGGCAAAATAGAATGGTTAACCTTGCTTTGCATGTGGACTGTATAGAAAAAGGTGAAATAAAGTCACAGTGACAATTCATACATCATAAGTCAGAGGGAAAAGAGAAGTGGTTAAAGAAATGGAATAAGAAAAGTCGAAACAAACTTTTATTGATAGGTGGGAATTCTGTGTTGAACAAAGTCAAAGAAAGAGAGGATGTAAGAGGCAGCACTTTGCCTCTCTTGTTACACCTGACAATAAGTTCACTGAAATAACCAAGGCTAAAGACTGGTGGCAATATTTAGGAGGAGGAGCAAATATCAAAGTGAGAGCAAAGGGGAAGATCTGGCAGTAGCGTGAGTAGCATGATAACAGCAACATGAAGTGAGGTTGGAACAGAACAGGAGAAAGGCAAAGAGCTGGAAATGGTAAGAGGTAGAAAGAGAGAAGCTTGCTTCCTTTACACTGGTTTTATGGAAATTAATCTCAGTTGGGAACATTTGGGAAGGAGAGGTTTACTTTGAAAGGCAGTCATTTTAGGTGCTATTCCAGAGTGAGGTCTACAATGGGAAATAGATTGCATGAGACCTACAAGCAACTAGAGAATATGTACCAAAGGGCATCTCAAAAGTGAACTTTGAGCAATTCAGCTGAATGTGCCAGATGCTGATGAGATATTTATTTCTGTGCTTTGGATGCTGATGCATTTAGCTCTATATTCCTTTGGACTGTGAAGCTGCAATGAAAGGCAAATGTGTATGTCCCCATGATACAATATGGTGCATTTTTAGAAATGCCAAAGCAAACATTCAGCAGGCTGATATGTCTGCCTGGTTTTATTCAGTGCTGTGTGAGACATAGGACAGTGACCTGGAACTGCTTCCTCAGTATAGCTACCTCAGCTTCTGTTCTGGATTTAGTTCATTCAAGGGCTAGCTGGGAGTCTCTCTACCGTGCTACATTTGTGGACATGCGATCTTGTCCAGTGTGGCAAATGAGAAATCCTAGCTGATCACAAAATTGTTTTATGATGTTTCCATAGCCATCCTATTTGTTCATTTCAAATGGGATTCTATTCTATATTCTCTCCTATTTTTTCTTTAGTTAGCATAAAATATAAATAACTTAATTATTAATTGTCTGGGAATTAAAATCTTTGACTGACTAACTTCAGTTGACTTCACAACCATTATTTGGATTTACCACCCTTCTTGCTGCTTCTAACATCAGCTGTTCCCATTGGAGATTTTTTTCTTTGGCAGTTATTGCTGTAAGAATGATATTTATGGATCTCTTTGTGTAGTTGGTCCTCTTCTTCTCAGTTGCTTTGTATCTTTTGTCATTTGTATATGCATTGTGTCTTTCTTCCACCTTAATAGCTATGTAGTTCAGTCATATTCAGCTCTTGAGTACAGAGGATGCTACTATACTTTGAGCAGGTGTTAAAAAGTTTAATCTAAGCTCTTCCCACGGTCCTAGAAATTTCCCTTTGGAACCTATACCAACATGCGTAGGATATGGTAAGGCATGCATAAGGCTGATTTGTTGTCTCTTTCTTTGCAGCATGCTATTGATGCTGATAATGCAGGAGTCAGTCCCATAGGAAATTCATCTAACAACAGCAGTCATTGGGACCTTGGAAGTGCCTTTTTCTTCGCTGGAACAGTCATCACAACAATAGGTATGTTTCTTGTTTATAGAATCATAGAATGGTTTGGGTTGGAAGGGACATTAATGATCATCTAGTTCCAACCCCTCTGCCACGGGCAGGGACACATTCCACTAAGACCAGGTTGCTCAAAGCCCCATCCAGCCTGGCCTTGAACACTTCCAGGGATGGGGCCTCCACAACTTCTCTGGGCAACCTGTTCCAGTGTCTCACCACACTGACAGTAAAGAATTTCTTCCTAATATCTAATCTGAATCTACCCTCTTTCAGTTTAAAACTGTTATCCCTCATCCTATCACTACAGTCTCTGATAAATAGCAGAGTCCCTCCCCATCTTTCCTGTAGACCCCCTTTAGGTACTGGAAGGCTGCTATATGGTCTTCCCGGAGCCTTCTCTTCTCCAGGCTGAACAACTCCAACTCTTTCAGCCTATCTTCATAGGAAAGGTGCTCCAGCCCTCTGGTCATCTTCGTGGCCCTCCTCTGGATCTGCTCAAACAGGTCCATGTCTTTTCTATGTTGGGGGCTTGATGCAGTGCTCCAGGTGGGGTCTCATGAAAGCAGAGCAGAGGGGCAGAATCACCTCCCTTGACCTGCTGGCCATGTTTCTTTTGATGCAGCCCAGGGATGCAGTTGACTTTCTGGGCTGCAGGCGCCCATTGTTGGCTCATGTTGAGCTTCTCATCAACAAACTCCTCCAAGTCCTTCTCCTCAGGGCTGCTCTCAATCCATTCTCTGCCCAGCCTGTATATGTGCTTGGGATTGCCCCGGCCCATGTACAGGACCTTGCACTTGACCTTGTTGAACTTCATGAAGTTTGCACAGGCCTACCTCTCAAGCCTGTCCAGGTCCCTCTGAGTGGCATCCCTTCTCTCCAGTGTGTCGACCGCGCCACACAGGTCGGTACCGTCAGCAAACTTCCTGAGGGTGCGCTCAATCCCACTGTCCATGTTGCTGACAAAGATGTTAAACAGCACCGGTCCCAGTACCAATGCCTGAGGAACGCCACTTGTCACTGCTTGCCACTTGGACGTTGAGCTGTTGACTGCAAGTCTTTGACTGCAACCATCCAGCCAATTCCTTATCCACTGAGTAGTCTATTCATCAAATTCATGTCTCTCCAATTTAGAAACAAGGATGTTGTGCAATTATCCTTTAAAATATACAACCATGCTGAGACCTGGATAATGAAATAAATTCGAGGAAGTTAGATCACAAAGAAATAAAGTGGCTGAACTGTATTTCTCTCACTTCTCAGAAGTCATGCCTCTGGTGTATGTCAAGGGCATGGAGCATCTGGGTAAATATCAGAAGCTGTTTGCACAGTTAGGGTAGAGTAGCAATGCTGAACTGGAAATGAGTAGCACTGATGTAGCTAAGGCTTTATAACCCTGTTCTTGATCTAGATTCAAGAGGTCTTAATTTTCACTAAAAAAGATCAAGAACCAGTACTCAATGAAATAGCTGTTCTATGGTTGTTGGGAATTTGGATTTTAATATTATAGATGAATTTACCCATATGGGTTTCATTCTATCTCAAACCAGGACACCCTAATTACCTCAATGAATTTTGGCTTATGCTCTGAAGTTTGATATAAGTAATTCTTCTCATACCCTACTCCTTGTAACTGAAAATATATTCACATAGGTATCACATCCTTTTTAAAATCCTTTCTCACTTTCATATTAGTAATTGGAAGAAATTCCACAAATTGTACATTTTGTAAAAAAACCCCACATTTTTATTCCATTCTAGAATTCATGGCCTTGAAATATTGACACATTTCTCTGTATTAGATGAAGGGTATACTGAACTACACCATTTACTTTTCTTGAACCACTAATTTTAGTAAGTTCATTATTCAGGCCCTTATCATCTGTCCCCCTATACATTGTGCCCAGTGTATTTAGTCTCTTGATCTTTGAATGCTTGCCTTAGATATGCTAAGGTTTTTATCCTCCCCTCCATGAAGATCTTGAAGATGATTGTTCAAGCAGCTGGGGTTTCAGAAGATGGTCTGAAGGAAAAAAATGATAAACAACACTGGTGATAAAGTTAATCTGCTGATAATTATGCAGTGGTTTTATAATTTAAAACTTGATTTCAGTGCCATCATGGTTAGAGGCCGAGAGATCTGATTATTTGAAAATCACTGGCAAATGGTTGCTTTTTATTTTCATTGCTTTTGAGTATTCTTCTGATTTAAATATTGGATAAAGTGCTTCTCGATATTACAACTGTGATACACACACTGGTGACTGTATAGACAAATAATCTGACAGTCACATTACCCCTCATTAAAGTGTGAGAATCTGAGTGAATTCTGCAAGATTTTTATGCAGGTAATGCAACAAAAAAAATCCTGTGGCAGTTAAAGACTTCCTGTGGTGATCATCTCAAACAGTGGAGTCTGTGCCTTTGGCTCTGCCTTTTCTTTGTTGTCAGAGTGAGGGTGAAAGAGTGGTTGTATGGACCGTATTCCTCTGTATTCCTCTGTATACTATATAGTCTGTATATTCCCCTGTGCTCCTCTGTATACTAAGCTACATTACCATGTATTTTTAAGGGTAGCATAAAACCAGCGGGTGGCGAGAAAGAAAACATTTCTGAATCAAATGTAAGAAAACCCTCCCTTAATATTTGTTTACTCAATAGACCCAAATGACAAGCTTTTAAATTACTCATTAAAATAAATGCCACTATGTAGGCATATTCATTGACATCTGCTATTTAAATAAATTATTGAAAAGAGCTTGGATTTTTGCCCATATTTGCTTTAAATTCTCCATGAATGAGATTTTTATAGGCTGCATAAAATCTACGTATTGTGTCTGGGCATGAAAATGACTTTATTTTATCCACCAGAGCCTTGTTAGGGCTCCTCTTAAGCAGACACTTGTCTGACTACCTGGTCAACCGCAGTCCACTGCTCTGTGGAGCCTGAATTTTCTTGGACTTTTAGGAGAAATCTGGGGTCACGGATGCAGCCATGAAAAGGACTGTGGGTTGCAGGGGAGGCATTGTTGTGTGTCAGCATGGTCCTTTCATCATCCCATGACAGAGAGATATATTCAGTGCCAGTGTCACAAACCTAACACGATTAGGACCTGGAAGCTCAGCCTTAATTCCTAAGGTCCAGGAGGAATTGCTGTAGATGAAGCAGACACTCTCTTAGATCTTCATCTCTCTGGATGCTCTGTGTTTACACTTTATTTTATCAGTGATTTGTGATTGTGTGGTCATTTTTAGTATTCAAATAATTATGTATAGTCAGAATACAAATTCAGAATACAAATCTCTATAACAGTTCAATAGAGATACCTGATCTTAAATAAAGAGGTGTGAATATTACTGCCACAAAAACCTCACGAAATACAAATGCCAGGCTCTTTATGGTCAAATTGAAAGAGGAACTGAATAAAGAGTTCAAGGGCAGATTTGCGTACTGTGGGTACAGTTTGGAGCCTGCAGTGTAACTAGTCAGTGTGATGAAGGGCTGAGGAAATTATGAGCTAACCACTGAAAATGAGCCTTGTCAGGTGAATCACAGGTGAATCACACTCCCATCAGGAAGTTATGGGCACAGCCAATGACTCCGAGAGGAACAGCAGTATGCAGGCAACAGTCCAGCATAGAGGGACTTTTGTGCCATGATAAGTCAAACTAGATTAATTAATCAAACACAACTTTAGATAGGACCTGAATCTATAGAAAACATGGGTAACTGAGGCTACAAGAAGAACTAAATCACAGTGGGTGGCCTGCCTGGGAAATGACGTCATGCTGTGGAAACTCTGTAAATAGGAATTACATGTGCAACAGAGGTATGCCTGCAGAACGGCAGTTCTTCTAAACCCATTAGTTTTTCTAAAAAGTCACGTGTAAGTTCTGAGAGTCTGACAATTGTTTTTCTCTTCAGGGTATGGGAACATTGCCCCAAGCACTGTTGGAGGCAAAGTTTTCTGCATCTTGTATGCCATCTTTGGGATTCCACTGTTCGGCTTCTTGCTGGCTGGGATTGGAGACCAACTTGGAACCATCTTTGGGAAGGGTATCGCAAGGGTGGAAAAAGTTTTCAGAGTAAGTTCACTGTCAGTTTTTTGCTTGTGTTGTATAACTTGCTTTTAATTCTGTTGCGATTACCTGCAGTCCTTTTTACATGTTGGGCACCATGAAATATTTACGTGTCTAATTAAGATGATGCTTAACATCCTTAGGGGCTTCTGTAGTCAGTGGACAGAAATAGACTTCTCTAGATGGTGATGCAGAGGTTATAGATCAGGCTCTGAATTTCCTTCTTGAGGCTATCTCTGGGGAATGTATATCTTAAGCTAGGTTCCTTATAAGGACTGGTTGTAAAAGCCTTCAAAACACCACAGGTTGCTTTGGACATGTATGTCCATTCACCGAAAACAGAGAGAAGGTAGCGTAACTTCTGGAGGAACAGGGATGCAGAGTATGTCCTGACTGTGTTACTAATAAAGCCTAAAAGACTTGGAAAGCAGGGTTACTGGAGTGAATGTGGACTTGGGGGGAGAGATGGCTGAGCGATACACTTACGCTGCAAGAGAACAGATGCGTTGGAGTAGATCTGCAGCTGCAAAAATTGGCATAATGCCACTGACTGGAATTGTCTTCATGGTATTTACCTGCCTTGCCTACCGTGGATGCATCCTACACTAGATTTCTGTATAGACTTTCTCATATGTAATTTCCCTTCATGTTGCCAGCACCCTCTATTTTTGAGTGTATCACCATAAGCAATTCTTTTGCAAGCAGCGCCGCAGACCTGGCAAATGCTGTTTTGCTAATTTGCCGATGGTTCACTTCAGGGATTCTCTCTTTGAAGCAGAACTTCTAGAAGTGACCTGTGTGATGCTTCCCTTGGAGGCGGCGTAACTGGAGGTAAGTCTTTCTAGGGACTGAGTGGATGAGAAACTGTCCAAGCTGGTTAGTTTAATAGGTGTATATTTCTAAAACATTCCCACAGATGAGAGCAAATTACTTGTAACTGTTTTTGAAAGGAAGTAATTGAGAATTATACTGGAGTATGAGCAATTTCCCTTTTGATTAAATTACTGTGAAGTGTCCCAGACCGGCCATAAGGAGTATCTCAGGCTGAGTGTGGAAAAAGGTGACTAGTCATTATGGGTGAGTAAGCATATACATATCTGACTGAAGAGCACTTGAAAATGGCCTACATTTTCATGAAATGAAAATAAGGTTATTGAAAGGTGGGTCAAGTTGGGCCTGCAGAAACAGAAGTAGCTAAGTTCCCTAGTTTCTTTTTTACTTTGCTTCTTATTATACCTGCTTCACTTCAGAGGAATCTCTGAACCTTCCAGCCTACTTCTGTCCAAGAAAAACTACAATCTTGAAGTCATGGTATGAATTGAGAGTCAGAAAATTCTTGATTAATTGTTAGCTGTAGTACTGGCTTTCTGGGTGATGTGGACAGGACCATTAAACTGTCAGTATGATACTTTATGAATAAAATAATGTGTACACTGCTTAAAGCATTTTAAGATTCACAGATGAGTGCTGATACTAATGTTTCATACAGAATATAGTCCTTTGGCACATAATGGGAGTTCTTTTGGTATTCAAAGTACTACTTCCTTCTCTTGAGTTAATGCGGGTACTTATTGTTTATAACCATTTAAACTATTTCTTTTCCTCCTTGGTATTTTGTCAGCTTTCAAAGCAATTTAGAAATTTGTGGTTCCCATGTTTAGCCAAGGTGTATGTTTATTCCTTTTATTTTGATTTTCATAAATCCATTATATCTCTTCTTTTGTGATTTGGTGGATGGGGTTATACATAACTTCCTTCAATATTCCTAGTAATGAGGGTCAGGTATTTGAAATATTCCTTATATAGTTTGCTATTTATATGCATCTTAGTAACTAGTCTTAATACCAGTGGTTTCACTTTATATGATTACTTACATAACATTTGATGTATTATAAATGATCATTAATATATTATACATGATATATACTTTATAAATATATGTTAGCTAATGCAGCGTATAATAATCATTATACTTTAGTAATTATGTAATTTGTTATCACATTGTGTTTACATTCTTATGCACCATAAATATTTGGACCTAATCAGATGAATCCAAAAGTGGAGTAACAGCTCTTGATTTAATCCTGAGAAGTAAACAAAATTTAGTTCAATATGTAACTCTTGTTTCTTACTTTATAACTGTCTCCTCCTCAAATTCAGCATGTTTGTGGGTGTGAAGTAACCTGCTACAACCTTTAAAGAGAGGACATAAAAAATAGTATAATAGTTAGGAGGAAACTAAAAGGAACAAACAGGTTAAAAAGACTGAAAAGTTTATTAAAATGTTGGGTGATGTGCCTCACAAATCTTTTGGAGCTAGCTGAGGGATTGCTGCGTGTGTATCAATGATCTAGTGATATAACAAATTGCACTTCCAGAAAGATTTTGACAAGTTTTCTCATCAAATGCTACAAGAAAACGAAGCTGTGATGAGGTACAAGAGAAGGTCTCACACTCATTACGTGTTTAAAGGGTAAATGGAGATTAGGAATTGATGGTAGCATTATTGGTATGATTCTACTGGAGTCCTTGCTGGGATCCTACTGTTTTAACAGAGATGGCCTGGAATGGTTCAGACAAGAATATGAATATGCAGATGACAGTGTCTGCAAATTATGTCTCTAGATGTTTCAGGATAGCTAAAATGGAAGCTGCAAAAGGATGATAAGACAATAAATGGAATGCAGTGTTGGTGATACAATATAATGCATATTTCTTAAGTTTGAGAAAAGAAATCCTAATGTATTCATACAGGGATAGCATCAAATTTTACTACTCCAAAAGGGACCTGGGATTACTATGGATAGTTGTCTGAAAATAACACTGTGAAACTTAGCAGCAGTTAAAAAGGTAAAAAAGAGGATCGGCAAAGGAGTTGAAAACCGAAAGACCATTTTACCACTGCACAAATTCATGGTGTACTTGCACCATGAATATCACATGCAGTTCTAATTGTCCCATTTTGAAAAGCAAATGACAGAAATGAAAATCAGTGCTAGGTCTGCCCCCATAGTCCATGTAGCTGAGTCGCTGAGATGGCATTCACCAGCTACTTGTATTATTTGCTTTCTAGTGCATCCTCAAGGGCAATTTGGGACAGTCCAGGTTCTACTCTTGGGGAAGGGAATGGGAAGAAACTTTGCACCTGTCCTGGACATTATAATATATCAAGTTTCCATGTGCTTATGCCTCAACACTCTGCTTCTGTCTGTCTCCAGTTGCCTCTGTTTATCCCATTCACCCTTAGGGATGTTACATGTCTTGGTGTCAGGGTAGCCAAGAGTTCCGTAAATCCTTGCAACTTTGTCATCATCTGCACAGGTGGATGGGGTTTGAAGGCAACTTGATCTTGCATTGTGGTTAGGATCATTTTTGAAGCTAGGTAACAGGCAGTATGCTTACACTGGCAGGTGGGAAGGAGAGGAAGGTTTCTTTGTCGGCACAGCAGTCTTTTCGCTTTCCTTAAGAGGTCTCTTGATCCATCCAACAGTGTAACTGTGAGCATGGAGCTCATGGCACGCAAGGGACAGCTTGCCACTGGCATCCCCCAGCATAGCTGGAAAGATGAAAGGAGGATTTCTCCCAGAGGAGTTGTGCTCGCGCACTTCTGCTGCCTCTGACGTGACCTGTGTGGAGCCTCACCAAACCTACATTAATTAGTAGCACAAATTACAGCCTAAGAATGCCACATTTAGCTATTGCAGTGATCAGCCCACACACTCTGTGGGAATTTTAAGAACAATTTGAACTCCATAAAGGGGGAAAGAGATCTGCTCTTATCAAATACACACTACCCCCACAGTATTGACAGAATATTTCAGCAGCGGAGCTGGACACATGCCACTGCTCGTCTTGTAATCCAGAATGTTGCCACTATTTCAGTGTGTAGATAGCCAGGAAAACAACTATTCATTTATGACTAGGTAGGGCGGAAGTATTGCATTGCAAAATAATGCTTTGTAAAACCAGGAACTTTTCATGTACCATTTTAGGAAATGGAGGCACTGGCAGAGTGACGCTGCCTGGGTTACGAGGAGGTATCCCAAATGCCATGCATTGGCTAGTCTATGCCATCTGTCCTACTGGAGTAATCGTGTTTGATACAAGTAAATAAACATCAACCAGGTCAGAGATGTAAACCAAAGCATCCCCTACACTAGCCCTTCCTACTCAGCTACTGATTATTCCTGTATGTCCCATCTTCAATAATCTGGGGCAGAACCTGGCTGCTAGTCTGTTCTCACATTCATACTGGTGTGATTCCTGAGAAAATGGATATGTACAGGGTCACCAGATTCACCGTATGCACTGGTCACAAGGATTCAATATCTGGGTTCAGTGATGAATCAGTTCTCCCAGCCCATCTGAGAACATTGTGTACACACTCATAATCTAATTAAAAAGTTGATAATTCCTATAAATAATTTTCACCTGGCAAAGCTTTCCAGACACTACAGAAATGAAATATGCATTCCAAGGTGATATAAAACCATAAAAGTGGTCTTGTTATTTTACATATGTGAGGGATCTCACGAACGACCTGAGACTGTTTCTATAATAAACAACAGAACAAACCCCATTCTTTTGGCTTGCTCTGTACACACAGAGGCTGCAGGCATCTAAAGATAGAAAGGAAAGCACTCCATAGGCAGAGTGCACAGTTACAGAACGCAACAGCTGTCATTATCATGAGTTAAATATAGTTTAAATTCAGATAGTCTTTATTCAGACCTTGTAATGAGTGTTTAAATTCTCACTGGAAGTAGATGGGATGAGCATAACCTGACAGATCTTCCCTCATCTTGCAGTTCAGTACAGATGCAAGTATTTAGCCTTGGCACAACATGCTTCTGAGAGCACTCCAGGATTTTCTGGCATCTAAGGTGAAGCCAGTGTAAGCAGTTCCTGGGCTTGGTTACTGCTTTCGCTCCTCTGGTTTGCAGCATGACGGCTGAGGACAAGTCTGGCGACACAGCTGGTAGGGTGTGAATTGCAATACAGGGATG